CAACCACCAACCTGAATCTTCTTCCCTATTGTGTTAAGTTGGGTTCTAAAATTTGTTACCTAATTTTTACCTACTGTAATACTGTTACTTACTCTAGGAAGCAGTTTCTGACTATTCCAGTTCACTTAGATTATCACTTTGTCTCCCAAAATTCTATGTTACTTATTAGATACTAAAGGACCGGTGCACACATTCATGCATGGGTGGGGTCCCTCGGCCTGGGGGCTGATCAGGGCCATCTCACCCAGTCCCGATTGGGGCCAATGGGGGCTGGCTGGCTGGGGAGGGACTGCGGGAGAGCTCCAGGGCATGTCCGGCCCATCTCTCCCAGTCCCCATCAGCTGGACCCCAGCAGCAAGCTAACCTACCAGTCAGAGCATCTGCCCCCTGGTGGTCAGTGCATGTCATAGCGACTGGTCAAGCCAGACACTTAGCATATTAGGCTTTTATATAAAGAGATATATAAAAGCCTTAGCAACCAAATGACTGAACGACCGAACGACCAGTTGACCAGTCACTATGACACACACTGACCACCAAAGGGCAGACGCTCAACGCAGAAGCTGTCCCCTGGTGGTCAGTGCACTCCCACAGCATGAGTGCCGCTCAACGGGCCAACAGGCACCAGACACAGGACTCACAACTAGCGAACACCGCTGTGGCAGTGTGAGCCTCTCCTGATCAGGACTGACTCTGCGCAAGCCTGCAGCAGGCGCAGCGGGGCCGGGATGAGCAGGAGCATCAGGTGGTGTTGGACTGCCGGGTTCAGCCCAATCCCCACAGGCCACGCCAAGGGACGCCACTGGTGCACGAATCCGTCCACCAGGCTCTAATATAGGATAAAGTTCAAAGTAATGGTTATAATGATACTCAACATCATGGAGAAGGACACAGAAACCATGAAAAACTTGTAACACTAATTCAAAAGAATTTATGCATCTCTATGTTCATTGCAGTGTTATTTACAACAGCCAAGATATGGAAGCAGCCCAAGTATACCTCAATGGATGAGTGGATAAAAAAGCTGTGGTACATTTACACAATGGAATAAAAAAAAGGAATCTTACCCTTTGCAGCAGCATTGATGGACCTGGAGAGCATTATGCTAAGTGAAATGAGCCAGCCAGAGAAGAACAAGTACCATATAATTTCACTCATATGTGGAATCTAAGTAACAAAATAAACTGATGAACAGAGTGAATCCAGAGATTCAGAGCATGAAACAGAGTGCAGAATCTCACAGGGAAGGCTGGGGAGGGTGGGTAGGTGGGAAGTAATCAACCAAAAATCTTGAATGCATATATGCATAACCCATGGATACAGACAATAGGGTGCTGAAGACCTGGGCGGGGCGGGGGGGGAATGCTAGGGGTGGGCTGTAGAAGGTCAATAGAGGCAAAATGGGGGCATATGTAATACTTTCAACAATAAAGAATAATTAAAAAAATAAACGAAATAGAAACAGACTCACATACCGAAAACAGACTGTCAGCTGCCAGAGTGGAGAGGGGGTTTAGTAGGTTGGGGTGAAAAAAAACTTTGAAAACATTAAGCCAAAAAAACCTCATAGGCACAGACAATAGAACGATGATTACCAGAAGAAAGGGGGACAGAGGTGGAAGGATAAAGGAGAAACAAATGATGAAGGAAAGAGACTTGACTTGGGGTGGTGAACACACAATACAATATGCAGATGATGTATTATAGAACTGTACACCGAAAAGCTATATAATTAACCAATGTCACCCCAATAAATCAAATAAAAAAATTTTTAAAAGACCCAATTCAATCTTATTAATCCTTGTTTAGTTTTAATTGAATTGTGTTTAAATTTTCAATCCAGAGAACAAAGACCATGCTAATGATAAAGTACAAGACCTAGTAAAATTTTGTAGACATGTAACCTGGGCGAGGCACTGGACCCAGTCCTTAACGAAGACAGAAATGTGTATGACATGATAAATAATGGAAGTGCTAACAAGTCATAATATTCTCATCCTTCAATATACTTCAAATGTTATAAATAATAACATTTCTTCCATTATTCTCTGATCACATGCAGCGATAGTAATCTCTCCTTCCTCAGTTCTTTCTACCTCAGTCTCACCTCTATTTTATTTCTTAAAATAACTCCCCCGTTCCCATTTTAAAAAGATAATTATAATTTAAAAATATAAAAACAGCTCTCATTGTACTGAAATATGCATTTCTCTCTATGTTATAGTAAGAAAAACTATTCCATAAACTCTTTAACCTTTGATAACACACCCAAGTTTTCTGAAACAAATACTAAAGAAGGAATCACCATGCAGTACAAAACTAATCAAAAATTCTATTTTGCAAGAGTTGAAATCTAAACATATGCACACACCTACTACAAAATCTCAAACACAACGCAGATCATCTTCATATTCCAGCCATGGCTGAACAACAATATTCCCTCTACCATATGTATTCAGGCTAAACCACAATACACCCAGGAATATCCACAAATATACAAGACATTAAAATTATAATTTTATATGTCTACTACCAATTTTTTCCACTACAGAATTTAAAAGAAGACATTAAGAAATGTTCTTGCAAGAAAGGCACCTTACAAGATAAGCTATTTCTTCAAATAAATAACGGGATATGTGTAAATATGACATCAAAACCTGTCACAAATAAGGATCAGTCGATTCGTTAAAACTTGTTTAATTTTAACTGAATTGTGTTTAAATTTTCAACCCAGAGAACAAAAACCTGGGTTGTGCTAAAATACAAGACCTAGTTAAAAAAAAAAAATACATCATTTCAGTGTGCTACCATTACTTACCTTTGAATCTTCATTGCTCACTCCTAGCTGTAATACAGCTTGAGGAGATTTTAGTTTTGCTTGAGCAGAGTGAGCCATCTGAAGGTTAAGCTGCCATCCAACCGTCTCTAGCTATAAAAGAGAAGTGCAGATTAGAATCAGATGATACAGAAGGAAGAAAATACACAACTTTAAGCAAATCTTCACTTAGCAGTAATGAATATGGATAGCCTGGACTATATGGAAAGTCAGCTCCAGAGCTCCTTTAACCTGCATACTCTGCAAATTCTTCCTTCAGGCTCATTATATTGGCCTCATGCCATGCCTGTCAAATTCAACAGTAAAACTGGTCTTTAAGTACAATCTGCTCTAAAAATAAAAATTCCAAGATTAAGCAATAAAGCACACTAAGAGAGTCAATGGTTTTTAAATATGACATTACTATTTTAAAATAGTATATTTCAAAGCCAATGATTTTTAAGTAGTTATGAATTTTAACTAGTAAATAGTATATATTGGTCATAATCCCTTCAATGACCTTCCTTTATCTTTCAAAACTCCTTGTATTAGGTAGAACACAGGGAAGAGGTTTTTTCTTAATTTAGAGAGAAATTGAAGTACCCAGATGGTAAGAGGTTCACACATTTAGACACAGTTAGTGAGACTGGAATAGAGCCAGGCAAAGAATTGCTATCTACTAGTGAGCAGGTGTTACCCAATAGACTATCATGCTTTCTAAAGTACTCTAACTTACTATGGTTCCCAGTTATGACACAAACTAATTAGAATATTTCCTTTTAATTTATTAATTAGCACAATAGCAAAAGTTCATCAAGTAAGGCAAACATAGTAAAGACAGGTTAAAGCAGCATAAATGTGGCTTTATTGAACTTGACAGATTATTGGTTTCTCCAACCTCAGAACTATGAGTACAAAATTTTAGATTTAATTTCCAGTAAAGCTCAAGTATCATTATTTAGGGAAGTATTATGAAATGCCAATTGACAACGACTCCGATTTAGTCAACTACCTTAGCTGCAATGGTAAGAATGGCAGCCTCAGAAGAATTTTTACTTAATCAGAATACTAATTGCTAACTTGGAAGCCTGTTCAACAGTTAGAATCACAGCAGTGACTCAAAGCCAAATTGGAAAGAGAGCAATGGAAGTATTATCTATTCGAGAGAGGATGTGATGTGAAAATAAAGATACAATTCTGTTCTCTCTGGCACTGAACCTTTTAGAAGTTATGGGGAAGATGTTTCAGAAACATAATCCATAATACCACAAGTAAAATATCAATTTAATAGTGCATGTTAAGTAAGGATCCTTAATGCATTGATCTTTAACACTGATTACAGTAAGTCTTTAATACCAGCCCACCACTGTTTTCAATAGTTATACAATAGAGCCTACAATAGAACAGGGGAAAAAAACATGACATAACCACTCTCGTATATACAAGCATATATACATGTCATCTTCTAGGACTTCATATGAGCCTATAAGATACTTCTTTGATCTAATTTAACTGATTCTATCCCTGTCTTGTAAGCACTTAAGGTAAATGAAGATAAATATTGCTTTAAGTGAACAGCATACCCCACTGTGGTCAGATCTTTGCATAAATTAATAAATGCTTAGTCACTGCATACAGGTATGTGGAAGAATTAAAAAGAACTTAAAGCCTATGCTTTGGTTCATGCTTAAGCTGCACTCACAAGTTACCTAACCCTGCTTAAATAACAATCTTCTAACTCTCAATTTACTCATATGAAACAGAAATAAGTCTATCTGAACTATCTACTTTTCTAAGTTATTGGTAATCTATACTAATAAAAGGGTAATATGCAAATTAACCGTCGCTCCACAACAAATATGGCGGCTCCCATAGCCACAAAGATGGCGGAGACGGCCAGAGCGAGCAGGATGCTTGGCTTCCTTCAGGCAGGATGCTAGGTTTCCTGCAAGCCCCAGCCGGCCGCCAAGGGCCAGCCTCTGGGCGGCAGCCACGGAGCCAGCCCAGAGTGGGCAGGAGGCAGCTCTGGCCCAGAGAGAAGGCGGAAGGAGGCTCCAGCCCGGAGCAAAGGCGGAAGGCAGCGGCCAGAGTGAAGGCCCAGGTCCCAGGTGCCGGAGGGAAACTGGTGCCGGTAGCCAGGTGAAGGAAGGCCTATTCTTGCACAAATCTTCATGCATCGGGCCTCTAGTATCAAATAAAAAATTAAATTCCCATATTCAAAGTGTTTTGGAAACTGCAAAGCATTGTAAATATAAGACATTTTGATCACCTATTTTTTTCTATGGTAACTTTCAAATAGAGTAGGCACTTTATACATAGAGGCCCAGTGCACGAATTCATGCACAGGTTGGGTCCCTCGGCCTGGCCAGCGACAGGGGCCAATTGGGGCTGTCTCGCCCAGTCCAGGGGGAGGGACTACAGGAGGTTGGCAAGCCAGGGGGGAGGGACCACAGAAGGTTGGCTGGCCAGCTGGGGGGAGGAACTGCGGGAGGTTGGCCAGCCACAGAAGGTCGGCTGTGGAAGCGCACTGACCACCAGGGGACAGCTCCTGCATTAAGCATCTGCCCCCTGGTGGTCAGTGCATGTCATAGCTACCGGCCAGTTGACCGATCATTTGGTTGACGAATCTTAACGGTCACTTAGGCTTTTATACATATGTAGATTGAACTGAATTAAAATGAATCAAAGAACACTCACAAGAAAAGGTAAGTTTTTTAAAAGTCATTTCTGAAAAGAGTTTTGTGGCTTGGCTTTCTTTAATTTCATAGCCCTTCTATTGAGTTTTGTGATTTAAAAAATATTTGTCCCAAGATCACATGAAAGATTTATTTAAAAAGAAAAATAACACAGCTAAGCTCATATGTACATATAGGCATATACACAGACGCACACAAAAATTTACAGAAAATGATCAGTATTCAGAAACCTTATATAAAGAAATATAGAAAGAATAACTAGAGTTATAAAAGAACACTTTACAGTTACACAGAATGGTAAGAGAAACAAAACAGACTTTTAAGTGAAAGTAGGAGACAAAACCAATACTACTTGAGAGAGCTATTCTTATTATCACCATTTAACAGATTAATAATGTAAAATGTAACAACTTAGTGAATTGGCCCAGCCAGCATGCATTGCAACTTTTCTCTAATTTTGAAATTATACCAAAATCAAAAAAGTTACAAGAAACTGATTCAAGTAAGAATCAGCAAAGGATACTAAATCTAAATAGTGAAAATCTGACATGGAATGCAGAGTCACAAGGCATCTATCCACAATGGCTTTTTAGTTACGAAAAAAAAAGTAATGATGCAATAGAGAAAACAAACAGCATCTTTACCAAGAGATCAAAATTAAGATCACCTAAAAGTGACAAAGGAGTTCTGTCACAATGCAAAATTTAGAGGCTGTGGAAACAAGGAGAAAGTAGCAAATGTGACTAAAAGCAGCAGTCAGAAAGGAGGAAAATCATAAGAGTATGGACCTAACTTTTATACTGTCTTAGGTGTTGGGGACATTAAAATCAATAAACTTACCATCTCTGACCCCAAAGCTCCAAGTCTAGTAATGAAGACAAAACATGTACAAAACAATTGTGATATAAGATATCAATAAATGAAGAGACATATACCATGTTCATGAATTTAAAGTCTCAGTATTGTTAAGATGTCAATTCTTTCAAAAGCGATTTACAGATTTAGGGCAATCCAATTAAATTCCCAGCAGGCACTTTTTATAGAAACTGACAAGTTGGTTCTAAAATTTAAATGGAAACGCATTATGACCTAAAAAAGCCAAAGCAGTTTTTTTTAAGTTGGAGAAGCTACGCTACCTAACTCTCAGATTTATTATAAAGCTACAGCTTTATTTTAAAGACAATGAATGTGGCACTAGCAACAGAATAGACATTTATACCTATCAATTGACTCCTGGTGAAGATGCCAAGGAAAATGATACTGGAGCTCGCTACTGGATGGGAACAAAATGAACAGCAACCCTATCTAACACCAAAAGCAAAAATGAACTCAAAATGGACCATAGACTAAATGTAAGTACTAAAACCTTCAAACTTCTAGCAGAAAACGCAAAAGACAATCTTTGTGATCTTGGGATAGTTATTAGCTAGAATATTAAAATCATAAACCAAAAAAAAATTATGAATTGGACTTCATCAAAATTAAAAATTCTGTTCTTCAAAAGTCACACTTAAGAAAAAGGTAAGGTAAGCCACTGACTGATAAAATATTCACAATACATATACCTGACAAAGAACTTGTATCAAAGCTTTATAAAGAGTTCTTACAACTCAATAATAAGACAAAGAAATACACACAAAAATGGGCAAGGATTTGAACAGATACCTGACAAAAGAAATATACAAATGGCCAGTAAACACCAAAAAATGATGTTCAACATCCTTATGTTCAATATCCTCACACACATTAAACTGCTAAAATTTAAAAGAATGGCAATACCAAGTGCTGGCCAAGATGTAAAAAAATTGCTAATTAGAATGTAAAATAGAATAAACTGTTTGTCAGTTTCTTATAAAACACCAACACTACAACCTGTCAACCTACCCCTAAGTATTACCGAAGAGAAATTAAAACATACGTCTGTGTACATGAATGTTAACAGGTTTATTAAACATAGCCCCTAACTGTACCCATCCCAAATACCCATCAATGTGAATGGATAAACAAATTGTGGTATATCCTTATGATAAAATACTACCCTACCCTACAATAAAAAAAAAAAAAACTTTAATATATGCAACATGGATGAACCTCAAAATCATACTCAGTGGAATAAGCTAGACAGAAAAAGTACATTTGTATGATTCTATTGTTATAAAATCTTAGAAAATGCAATCTGTGACAGAAAGTAGATTCTGGGACCAGGTTTAGGGGATGACGAGGCTGCCAAGGGGCATGAGGCAACTTTAGAGCAGTCGTTCTCAACCTTCCTAATGCTGCAAGCCTTTAATATCTCATGTTGTGGTGACCCCCAACCATAAAATTATTTTCATTGCTACTTCATAGCTGTAATTTTGCTACTGTTATGAATCATGCCTTTGTCTGGAATCAAATCCAGTACCCTCAGTCCATAGGCCA